GGAACACTGCTGCTGTCACAGTGTGGTCAAGCGCACAGAAAAACAAACAGCTTAAATCTTGCTGTCTTCATAACCTCTGAATTACACAAAGCTGTGGTCATTATATAGTTTTAGGCAGAAGTTATTTGCAAGTTGACTGGCTCCCTAGATATTTAGGGATTCTTTCTTATTAGCTTGACTTAATCGAATGATTCTGATGTTTAGAAATGTATCTGAAGTTACAGTTTGTATTTCTAAAGCAGGAAGCAACTTAAATAGTCTTAAAAATTAATGGAATATAATCATTGGTTCAGTTCTCTATTATGTATAATGCATGATAAACTGTTATGTGAATTTGCTGCTCTGAGTGTCCCTATCCATTACGGCAATTCTGACTTTTCAACTATTTTTGATGTTACAGTGGACTAAAGAGGATGGACATAGAACTGCCACCTCTGCTGTCCCTAACCTGTTTGTTCCATTGAACACTAACCCAAAGGAGGTCCAAGAAATGAGGAACAAGGTTTGTAATAGTAGTAAAATGTTTTTTTTTTTTTTTCCATCATTACATTAAGTTGCATGCTTGTAATGAACTAATTTATTTTGCTACAATGGAATCTTTTGGGGTTTAAAAACACAGCTGCTATATGGTGCTTACCCTTTATAAGCAGATTCAGAATGCTTAGGGTTTGTACCAGTACCGAGCTCGGGGGGGACGGGATAACCATCCACCATATGAAGACTTGCATTGTCTTGTATTTTGTTACTGAAGACCAGTTCCAACATGTAGATTTTCAGTATTGCAGCTAAGTCATATTAACCTTAATTTTGCTTTTTCACTGTTGCTGAATATCTCTGAAAAAACACCACAGGGTTTATGGTATTAATTTTGTCCCCTGAAATCATATACTTTCACGTTAGTGGCCTGTCTTCCTGTTTTGGTTTTACCACTTGCAGCTGTAGCAGGCTACTGATCTCTCCATATTATATTATTATATTATTATAATGTGCTGTGACTGTTGCAGGAATTTGAGGGCATTTAGGATTTATTAATATTATTTTATTTTTTATTTTTAGTGGCCTAAGCAGTTAATCTTCCAGTCTTCAAATTTTAGATTACTCTAGTCAACGGTCTTCTGACAGGAAAGCGTTGGATGTGTAGAGTTTTTCCTTTATTTTTTGTAAATACTAAATATATACCAGTTCTATACTATATATATGTCTTGTTAATGTTTAGCTTGTTCTTGATTGCTTTGCTGCCCCTGAGTGATGGCCATGCAGAACATGGAAGCTGGCGTGGTGTCCCAGGGAAGTCTGTGCGCAGGGCTACTGTCAGGAAACTGATTTGTGCTGAAAGAATGTGTATAAGGTTGATAGAGCGTCTGTTCTTCCTGACTTTGCATTGTTGAATAGTAATCTCTTAAATGAGAAGCCCAATGAAATTGCCAAGCAGTTTCCTGGTGTTTGAAACGCAAAATATTGCTGTGTTAAAAACTTCAATGAAATGGTCTAAAAGGAGAGAAGTAAAACTTAACTGCGTGACAACTTTTCCTTCTCCTGATGACGAGAAGGAGATACAGATGATACAGGATTTTTATACTTTAGCTTTCTGAAGTATCAAGCATTAATAATACTGCGCATTTTTATACTTGTGTATGTGCATTTTTGTATAAATCAAGCGCTATTTTTTTAGTTTGCAGTTGTAAGATCGAGGTCTTTTGGAATTCATCCCTTTCTTCGTCTTTTTCTGAAGAAGAGCCAGAATACCTTAGAAATACATTTTGAGCCTGTTGTTATGCTTTCTTTACCATAACAGGATATCTAATTTAAGTAGATAATACCTACATTAAAATATCATAATTCTGTTGCCATCTTCTGTATGGAAAGAAGTAGGAGGTATTTAGGATGCAACAAAAAGGGTGTTTTTGAATACTCTGAAGTGAGTGTCATTTTATACACAGATAAATACTTGTGTGCCCTTCCAGAAGTATGGTCCCGGTTAGTTACAAAAGTTGAATGTTAACCAGTGTTTTGCAAAAATCCTGTAGGTAGATTATACTGTTATGTTGTAGGCTGTTGATAGAAACCTCTACCAGATCATTCTTTTACAGCAGACTTGCGTAAAAACGACCTTTGTGATTCTCATCTCTCCCCACCTTTCTCTACAAAGTGGATTTGTCTGCCACCTGATCTGTGCAGTTTCACCACAAGCCAGTACTAAAAAGCAAAGGACAGTGTGCGCTGTGGCACTCAAATACTAAATTCTGAGAAACGTGGGGAAACAAACAGAACCTTGGTCACCTATCTTCAGCTAATGCTCATAATCACAGCTTTACTGGTGTGAGTAGGCCCATAATTATCTACACCAGTTGCAGCCTGTTGGCATGTTTACCCACCCCTTTTCTCAATTAAAAGAGTATGGTTAACTTTTCTTTGTTGTTCATGTGCGTGTATTCTGCTGCTTTCCTTTACAGATCCGGGAGCAAAACTTACAAGATATTAAAACTGCAGGCCCTCAATCCCAGGTTCTTTCTGGGGTGGTTGTGGACAGGAGTCTTGTACAGGTGAGAGCACAAAATGCCTAAAAATATTAGCTTAAAGTTGATCTATGTCTTCTGCGTTCACCTAATATGTCACTATAAAATTATTCTTTAATTGGCAGAGAGTAACTGTTTATAAGGTAAGTGTTAGAGGTAACGCCATTCTCTTTGCAAGAGTGCTCAGGATCAGAAACTTAAGAAGCTTCAGTCATGTAGCTCAAGCATGTCTGTGGAGGGGGCTTTTTTTTTTTCTTTTTTTGCTGAATGTAATGCATGAAATTCAAAAGGCTTATTTATATGGGTTAGATTCTTGTTCAAAACTAGTCAGGCTTTGTGACAACTTGTGGGTTTTTCTGTTTTGTTTTGTTTTTTTCCTCCAAGTTTATGTATCTTGAAGTATTAAATACTGGGCATGGCAAGCTCATTTTGGGGCTGTAGTGTTGTGTGTTGAATATATTATTGTGCTTCACAATACTTTATTTGAAGAGCGATCAAAATAAAGAGCTATTATGCATCAGTAAAACCTGAAAGCAGTATATCTGGATATACTGAAGAGATTATCTGTGAATCATAGCTCAAAATAAAAGTTAGAGCTATACGGTTACTCTGTTAAACACACGTGAATGACTTTAAAGCTCTATATATCTGAGTGCTTTAACTGCACCAGTAAGTATTTTTTGATACACTTTAAATTTAGAGTTTGACTACTCTTACCATGACAATAGCGTTATTCATTTGGGTGTCATGTTGTGTGCATGTCAATCCACTGTCACTGCAATTTTGTCTACCGGTTATTGTTTCTTTGCATGTTTTTTAGCAAGCATCATAATGCTCTTGGTTGATGTTTTAAAGCCCGGGCTCGGTTTGCTCTGTTTACTCAATTTACTGTTGCAGGATGCTCCCCTCTCAGACTGTACGGAAACTATTGAAGGGCTCGATCTCACAGAGCAGGCCTTTAGTCCCGCTAAATCTCTGTCTGTTAGAAAGGTACTGCCCTGTCATACTGCTCTAAATACTATTGTTCACCCTTCATTTACCTCTTCCTTACCCTTGACCTCTTCCCTTTCTGAGCTAATGATTTGGCTATAAAAGGAAAAAAAATAGATGGATCTCCAAATTACGTATATGCAATTATACAAGCAGTTAAGTTACCCTGTAAAAAGTATTATTTAAGGATTTTGATTTTATACATATATGTGTGTAAAAAAAGCTATTGGGGAAACATTTTTGATGTGAAGGTGCTGAACAGGTTGTGCATGTAGCAGGTTTTTTGCGCATGTTATTAATATTGAATTATTCTAATTTGAGATCCATTTTGAGCTAGCTTAAGCTCAGCCTGATTACATCAGTGTAATTCTGAAGATATCCACATGATCGGGATGTGTCATGCTGACAAACACTGCCAGCTTTTAATCCTACATTGCTAGATGTCTTGTGTTTCCTTAAAACTTCCTGAGTTGATGTACAAGAGATACTGAATAATGCCTCGCACATTCGAAATACATTGGCTTTGAAGCTGTTAATATATTCATGCTATTGGCTTATGTATTATACTTCGAATACAGAATAGATACAATAGGTGTGCAGGGGAAGGGAGGTGAAGTCCTTTGAGACTGAGTAAATAGGAACAGTTCCATATTGGAAACAATCTGTCCTTAGTTGTCTGTCTCTCCCAAGTTTTTTAGGCGTTTAGGTAGAGGTAATCTAATGTCCAAGTGCACAGGGTGTAGATATGCATCAGGGTCTCTTTTCTGTCTCAGTGTTTTTCTCTAACAATTTTTTAAATCTTGATCTAGGTTGTGGCTAAAATCTTATTATCAGAACAGTTTTCTCATCAAAAACCAGAACAATTTGAATTGCGTTATAGCTGCAAATCTCGTGACTTTATAACCTTTCTTGGGAGTAATCAGCCAGTTTGTATTATAGTCTTTATCATACTGAGAATTTGATAAAAGTGTTTCAGATTATGATTTGTTTTATCCATATTTGAAAGGAAGAATCATAACATGTTCTTTCCGGATGCAAGATTTAAAAACAAACAAAAAAAAAAAAGCAAATTCCTCAAGGCAGTGCCTGCCCTTTGTTGTAGTAGCTTTTTTGTTTAATAATACCTTCCAAGCAAAAGGTGACTTTTATGATAGACATGCGTTGGTTATGGTAAACAGGCAATTTCTTTCACCAGTAATGTGCAAGGTATCTTTCAGGTATTCTTTTTGACTAACTGCATCGTCTTTCTATAAAATTACTCAAATATTTTATAAGGAGTTTTAAAGACAGCCAGTAGCCAACAAGAAAGGTCAGTTGGCTATATGGTTTTGTTAGTGATATAACGTTAGGGTTTAGGTGTCCAAATGATGCATTCCTCCTTTGTGGTGCTGTGAAAGTGCTTCCCTCCTGAAATACTCTGTAAAATTAGATCATTCAGAATGTCAGCTCGAGTAGGAGTGGCCAATTTCGTTATCATCTTAATAAATATTGTGACCTGAATTCTTAATGAGGAGTTTTTTGTTGCAAAAAAAGCCGGAGAAATTTTTTTTAGAAACATTATGCTGAAAATCAATGCCATAGTTCGTATAGTTCCTGTTCCACAGTCTAATGACACCCACATAAATCCCACAGTAAATGAAGCTGTAAGAAAGAAACCTGTATATCAAGGTCTTAAGAACATTTAGGTACCAGATAATTAGAAGTTTTCAGCTGACAAATTTTTAGGCACTCATTTACAATTTGAGTGAAAAGTTCCATCTCTGATTGCAATAAGACTTAAAAATATATTATGCTTTCAATTAACATTGAAAGCTATATCAACTATATCAACACACACGATTTTGGGTGAAAAAATTCCCGCATTGTGTACAGTATGCATGTAATGCTTTGAGTCTTGTCTGCCTACAGCTGCATCAGTAAATGCTCCGTTTTGCCTTGTCGTGCTTTGGCAGCGCTGGGAGAAGTCCTCGCCATGTTGCAACACAAGCTCCTCGTGCATCCTGATTTTATTAATGTTACAGACTTGGTTAACTGAGCTTCTGCTGCAGTCTTGGCTGAACCAGAATGTTGGTTATTCTTACCACTGACATCCTGCAATCTAATAAAAGTGTTTAAAACAAGAGAATTTGAAGTACAAGGGAATAGCCCATTTCTTGTCTTTTATTTTAAAATGAAAATTCTGTGCCTTAATGAGTAGCCTCTCTGCTCTGCCTCCAGAGGTAGCACTGGAGTGTAAGGGTGATTCCAAGTTGAAAAGTGCGTTAAGGATCTTGGGGGTTTTTTTGGATAAAGGCACTACATTAATGTCAGATGGTATTAAGACTGATTAACTTTAGTCAGTTACTGTGAATATATTGTTTGATTAATGGGAAAAATGGTATGTATAAGGTGCTAGTTTTGCTCATACCCCTCCCTGAGAATAAGATGAAGTACTTGTCTATTAAATGTTGATCACCTTGTATTTCTCAGTTTTTCTTTGAAAGCAGGATATAGTGGAGAAGTTGCAAAATGACTTGATAATCTAGAGTTTTCGTGTAGGATATGTGAAGTCCTAAGTTTAGTATGAAGGTACATCATTAGCCGTAACTACCTTTCCCTTTGCCCAGTCATTCTGGGTGAGTAAGTCGCTGCAAACTTCTCGGGAGTGAAAATACGTTCTGTTTATAGATATCATTTATCCACTATTTCTTATGGTGGAGGAAACGCTATTGATAGTCAAGCGTTGATGCGGGTAGTCAGACCTCTAATAGTCATCTCCATGATACTAGAATCGCTATCATCCAGCTGGGCTGTCATGTAAGTCTTCTGCTTTTGCAGTCCAAAAACACAAGTGCTTTTTATTTGTCACGTATAATCTGCTTCCTGTTGTTGCCTGTGATTTTTTTTAAACGTTATTTCTCTTGAGTCAAAGATATTCAGCTGATATAAATTCTGTTTAAAATTCTGCGCATCAGTGCATTCATATATGTATGTGTATATATATATGAATACACACACACACACACACACACACACACACACACACACACATTTTTTCTGGTTGATGAATCTTGATTTCATATTCAACTTTCCAGGTCCCTTTGTGTTATTTTCCCGTCTTTGGTACTGAATTTCTTAAGTAAGTGATAAACTTAGTGCTGCTTTTACTTCTCGGTAGTTAACAAAGGTGTTCTCTTAAGAAAAAACATTCGTAATGCCAATGAATTAGTGATCTTGTTGCAAACTGCATGCCTTGCTGTTTGTTGCTGCCACTTCATAGGCGTTGAGTAAAATCTCGTTTCGTTTCGTTCTATCCAGTCGTTTTGGATTTATCTTGCAGACAAGTTTCTAAGAGTCCTAAACATTTCAGTGACGTCAGCGTGCACTGTATGTTTTGCTCCTTCTCTATTGATTTTTACAGTCCTAGAATACTCTCTGTATGTATTTGCCTGTGTACTTAGTAGGTTCCTGTTGCTTATTGCCGATGTTTCAGTTAAAGACTGCCTATTTAGTTTGGGAGGATGGGCAGAAATAGACAGCTAAAATTGCATGGGTACCGATTTCTGCTGTCATTAAAAGCTGGAGCCTGTAGTTTGGCGGGCGAGGTGTTACGTTTGTTCGCCAAAATATAATTGGTGTAAAGGCTGATGTTTTCTGGCTTCTTTTAATGTATGATCCTATAAGAAAAGCTGTAAGTATCAAACTTGAGGTTTTCTAGTATTAAGATAGCAGGTGCTTAGTGGAAATAGTTGAGACTTTTGGTGTTTACGGACCCTCTGCATCTAGGACGAGAGACAGTTTATAAAGTTTTGTAAATCTTTCTCTTCAGGATCTTGTAGTGGAGAGCTGTGGTAACGCTGTGTGTTCTTCAGTACTCTGGCTGACGTGAGCTTCCTGAATAGAAGCGTAGATTCTAAGAACCAGCTATTCTTATCGCCCTGGATTTCTCCATGCCAGTGCAGGTTCCTGGAGATCTCTTGTGAGGCTTCAAGAAATATCTAACTGCTCTTTGCCTCATCCCACGTAGACATTCTTGTCTGGCACCTTTCTGGTCCTGACCTTTTGGTCCCAAGCGCTCTTCGCGTCCAAAACAACATTCCGTCTTGTCTCGTTTTCGGTTCTATAGTGAAGCTCTCTTGCTTGGCCGTCAAGCATGGACGGGGGGTGGAATACCTGTGTGTTCATCCACACTGTGATTATTCTTAAACTCTTCACGTGTTTATGCTTTCTTTAAAATACCAATACAAACGTGAAAATGATTTAGGCCAATCAATATCCCACGCTACTTTGGTAATGAAGTTAAATGACCCTCTTTTTGGCAATGGAGACAACTTGGGAATCACACTGAGAAGCACAGATCACACGCATCAGTCGTTTTCAAACGTGTCTCAGTAATGTTCTGAGTATCAGGTGAGAAGACAAATTCTTAGACAAGACACCTCAAAGGTGGGGCAGCTATTGGGTCAACTAGTCTTCTGTATCTGAGATGATGTGAAGCCAGTGACTTTAGTCTTCACCATAAGCTTAGAGAAGAAAAAATAAAAAACTTGCCATTACAGAGAGAATCTCTGATGCAGCTGTTTTTGTCCCTTGGGGCTTACTGTATTTAGAATTGCTAATGCTTTATTTGTATAAATTTTTATCCTGCTTGTATGACATGTTATAGAAGTGAACATGCTAACTCATAATAAGATTATGTTAACCTTATTTACTTACAAATAGCTTATAGTAAACAGTTAATCTGGTGTACACAGAATACGTACAAGATGGCTTTTACTGTAACGTCTGTTAGATGTTATATAAAAGCTACCAGAAATGGCTTTTCCCGTACTCAAATTTTATTTGAACCTATGAGCATTAGCTGCCAGTCCTGTTAATTTCTACAGGAACGCCATGCCTAGATTGCTGTGCAGTTGGGCCTAGTGTCCTGTTTCTCTTGGGAGTAAAAGAAAGTTGATACTTTTGTGACTTCAAATATGACCTAGCTAAACTGTTTGGCTGCTATTTGATTTGCTGCTTAATGGTGGATATTGCCTGGTGAAAACACTGATGTCTCTGCGAAAATAATTGATGAGACCTGCTTTTTCCTTAACATTAACCTGCTGTAAATTATTATTACTTTTTAATTCTGAAATAGAGAATTTTATTCTTTAAACCTAAAAGAAAATTAATATAGCATTTTTCAAATTATCTTTTGTTTCATTTTTGGCTGCTTTGTGACTTCTGTACTTTCCAGGGTTCTGCAAGTTACTGCTGGATCGCAGATTTATCTTAATTGTTTTTTGTCAGGGAGAACTGGTGACTGCATCAAAGGCAATAATTGAGAAAGAGTATCAGCCAAGAGTCATAGTGAGCACAACAGGACCAAATCCCTTCAATAAGCTCACTGATCGAGAACTGGAAGAATATCGCAAAGAAGTAGAAAGAAAGCAGAAGGGGCCAGAAGGTGGGTTTGCCTGTGTGTTGTTTTCTGCAAGTGGCTGTAATAACAGCAGCATTACTTTGGATTGTGGGTTACCTGCCAAAGTCAAGGAACTGTTATTCAGCTTCTGTGTTTCAATTTTCCAGTGTAAATTATGAACTTAGAAAGCATATTGGTGATAGTGCAATTTAATGGTTTTGGGGTATTCTGTAAAATGTGTAGATTTTATTTGAAAAATTTTCCTAGTACCCAAAAAAGGGTGTTTAAAATGGCCAGTTATTGCTGCTGCTAGGTTCTAGAAATCTTGACACTTCACTCGTTGAAACGTTCAGGTACTGCAAAGAACTGCAGCTTGTTCTGCTTTGTTTCCCTAAGCACTGGAGATAGTCTGAGGTGAAAGAATGATGTTGCTTTTCTGCAGCAAGTTGCAGTTTTCTAACTTGTTGAAATTTGTAGACCCAAGAAATCTGAATTGGGAAGATGCAGAACAAAACTTGATTGCTGCTTGGAGATGGTGCATCTCGAGGATTCCCCAGAAGCAGAGACTTTCTAAAGGATGATAAAATTCTGAATCATGCTGTAAAAAGAGATCATTATTACATCTGGAGTAGTTACCCTGTGTTACTTATTTTTAAGCTTCATGGGATTTTACTTAGGACATTTCCACTAATCTGTTACAGTTTGAATGATGCAGGAACTGTCTTGTAGTGTGTGCTCCATGCTTCAGCTTTTGGATAACACATTGTAGATCATCTGTTTTCAGTTGCACGAGTACTGGGCCGGTTGGGGAAGTGGGATACTGTGCTGTTATGCCTCTGTAACTGCATACCTTTATTCTCTCAGTAACATTGCTACATCCTTCTTAGATAAGATTTCAAAATGTGGAGAGACTGTGTTACTGAGACAGACACCCGCTGGGGAACAGAGTACTTTGCTTAGAAATCAGAACATCAGTGAGCAAAATACTCCAGATAAAAAATCTCTGGATTTGAAAGGCAGATCAAAAACCTTTCAAGGAGCAGATACGAAGACTTTACAGGATCGTGAAGTATCGTCACTGTCTAAATCTTTAGATAACACTCAGTTTGCTGCTGCATGGGTTTCTTGTCAGACCACGCAGCAAGTCATCACACATCTTAACCAAGAAGAGCCAGATGTGCAGAAGTCATCTCATAAGGAGTTTCATACTGCAGTGGTCAAAGCATTAAGGTCTAATCCTGACCTTTTGGCTGAGGCCTCAGGTATTATGAATATGGTATAGTTGTGCTTGCAATCAAAGGAACAAACTCTTTATCTACATCATTTGGAGATTCTCTCAGTTGACTCCCATCATCTCTGGGACTGATTTCACTTTTAATTGTTTAGGTGGACTGTATGGAACAATGTTTTAGTATTGTTCCTGTTACAAGGTGTACTCCATTAATGTTTTCTTTTGGCTATAGGGCTGTTAAAACCTGGAAGCAAGGGGAACCCTCCTTACTAATAACAAATACGCAAACTACTGCAAAATCTGTTTTGAATCATTTAATTATTGCATGTTTTTGTGATTATCTGTGCAGTCTTTCATTCTTTTCTTTTGGTATGCAATTTTGTTTTCTCTGAAATTCAGCAAACAATTCAAAGCAAGCAAAAGAACATTGTTGTGTGCAAGTCCGGTAGCATTTTCGTCCATGTACTTGTTTATATTTTCCTTAAGTTTTTTTCCTAACAAGTTCTCAAACAGTCTGCCACAGCAGTTTGTAAACGCTGCCATATCAGTTTGTAAACAATTGTTATTTCCCCCTTACATGGTGGGGGGTGCAGGGGACACAAAAACAAAGCCAGACTTTGACTTTAACAGTTTTGTTGATATCAAACTATCACTTATTTTTCTTTTGCTTGTTTTGGTATTATTGAATATCCTAGCAGAATTTTGATTCAGAAAAATGTATTCATAGTGTGGAGGGGAGGAGAGTGGTCTTGCCTTACCGCATGCTGAAACATTTTGTCTGTTTTGTTCTTTTTTTTTTTTTTTTTTAACTTCTATTGTTCTACATCTGCAGAGCCTTCAGAAGATGGCAGACAACAGAAAGAGAGAAGTCCCCCTGATCACACTTCAGCTCGCACTCCTCCCAGTACACCGATTAAAGTAGAGGAAGGTATGTTCTTTTCATTTGCGGGCCAGGGGAAGCCAGTAACTGCATCGTTAGTGACTGACGCATGATAATGTACGAGCTAGTACCTAATAAAGGTAAATTATTTCTTGTGTTAACTTTTATAAACTGTAAATGTAATAGGAGTTATGTTTACAATAATAAAGAAGTGTGCATTAACATAAAGACAGATTATCACCACTTCAGAATTGCTGTGTCATGTCTTGATGTTTCTCAGCCGAATACCCCCTTTGTGCGTTTTCTGCAAGAGAGAATTGCTCTTATAAAATGAAATAATGTCTGATGATGAACCAGACATAAATTAGATGGTTTTGTAAATCTCCTTCACTGACTGCACATTTCTTAAACATTATTGTACTTGGATTACACCTCCGTATATATTTTTCCAACTCAATTTGAGTCTTAATTTTATTAGTCACTAACCTTATGTAGTAATTTTAACTAAAATGAGAGCAGGGCTGGGAAAGTCTGTAATTGCCTCAAAACAAAAAAGAAATATTAAGTCTTGAACAGGTGTAATCTAATTTTTGTCTTGTTTCCTTTACCTTGTACATTGGATATATCACTTGTCTGTTAAAGTCTTCCACTCACTACTTCATCTCATTCTGTTTTCTATAAGAATGGTTGCAACCATTCTTCTAATTTAACACAATGGCTGTGATGAATGCATAGATTCTCTACTTGTGCTTTTTTCTTCTTGTGGCTGCGTTACAAACAGGAGATGGATATGCTAAAGAGTACCTGTTACCATAGTAAGTATCATTCCATACTCTGACCTGCTTATGTGCTTTGCTTTGCTTTTGCATTTTTGTTTACTGAGTTTTTTGGTGTGTTGTGTGTTTGGAAAAAAAAAAAAAAAAAAAAGCAGGCTCTTTTCAGTTGAGACACTGACTTCTTTAGTTGTTGATTTCCTGAAATTCTAGATAGTCATAGATATTTACATTAAAATGCACTCTTCTTTTACAAGAGACTGTGAAAGTGACATTGTGTGTTTCCATATTTGTGTCTCTGACTCCTCATAGTTTAAAAAGGAATAGTCTGGAGTTGTCTTTCAGACATAGCTGAAACAGTTCTGGGAGTTTCTGCCCCAACAGTTTGCTTCTGGCTGCATAACTTAGACCTGGTAATGAAATGTTACAGAAATCTTAATCTATTTCAGTGCAAAAGTGTTATCACTGGTGTTGATTTAAACTAATCCATCTGACTTCTGCACGGAAGTGGGGACGGAGCTCCTCGGGTTTTATGTTTTTATACACACACACACACACAAAATATATATATATATACACACACACACACATATACATACATACATATATATATATATCAGCTGTAGGGGAATTCAAATTTCAACTGAGTAATAGTAAAACTACTAATAGTAAGTAGTTGGTGGCAGGAACTTCTACAGCTGCTTCAGCTAGATTTGCGAGGCTACATCAGATTATACTCTAAGTAATAAGTATACTTTTAGGTAATCTGTTTGGCTCCCTCCATTTTTATGTCCTGTTCTATCCAAAAGTCAGTGTTTTGTATTTGTCTTAGACATGAAAGTCAAACTACATCCTAGACAACTGTGACATTATTAATAAACTTTATAAATTCTGTTAAATTCAGATAATTGTATTTTCTGAGCTCTTCTACTTGTATAAGTTTTTCGGGACAAACACATGAAGCTTATTTTATACACTACAGTAACTAGGAGTTAATGCCATGACAGCTTTTACTGGCAGGAATTCTGTTGAATGATGGTGTACTCTGTATAGAGCCACCTCTCAAATTTTGGCTGTTTCAACGTAGCAGAAATCAGAAAAGTGTTTTGTGGTGTTAACTCAGTTATAGCATAGCTTGTGTGTGTGTGTGTGTGTGTGTGTGTGTCTACATTTGTTTGTGTTGGGGAAAAAAATTCTTTGTTTTCATAAATACTGTGAATTGTAAATACAAGCATCAGTGATAATTTTCAAAACTCTCTTATGCTACAGTGGATGTGTATAAAGGGAAAGCATGGCTGTAGACATACTTACTGTACCAAAAACTGTTGAAACTTTGAGATATTGTTGAGTTCTTGAATTGTACATAGGCTTTGCAGCAAGATATTTTTTGAAACCTTCCTGGCTAGGTTACTGGAATCCATCAAGCAAAATAGTAAGCCTGTTACATGTTGTATATTTTCTTTCTCTCATGTGGAATTTGTAGATCTCCCCAGTTCTGGTGGATTGTTATCTACAGAGAGCTAAATAAGATGTTTGTTTCATTCTAGGTTAATGTTAATCTGTTTCGTAAAGGTGATGGTAATTTTACAGACTGGGAAGGATAGCTGCCCTAGATAAGAGTTATCATACATTTTGTATTTTTGTAATGTTTAGGCCAACTGGCAAATGCTATTGAAATGTCAATAGCTTCCTATTCTTTAAGGATTTTCAACCCCTCCCCCCCATTTTAGACTTGGCTTAAAAAAAGAAAAAAAAATCAAGACTGATCAAGATGGCACCTGTTCTTAACCATCACACCAGTTAATGCTTTCAGTTAATTCCTGAAGAAGTAAAACTTAAAAAAGCAGTAGTGAAGAATTGTAGGTGGTGCTTCTTACAGATCTGTGTGCGCGCTTCTGTGCGTGTTACATACATGCACAGCTTAAACTACAGCTTCAGGAGACAGCTTGTAATGTACGTAATTGCCTTCTCTCTTTTAAATTCTGTCTGCATTATAACTTTCAAACCTCTAACTTGTGCATTCTGAGTGTTTGGCACTGAATACTAGTGTGTTCTGCTTATTTAACATACTAGAAGTTCATGATGCTCCAAGCAAAACATGTTAGTTTCCTACCAGATAGTCACACAACAGTCCTGTAAGGTGTATTAGATCATTAATCCCACCTGGCAGAAGTAAAAAGGACACTAAGTATCTTTTCCATAGGAAAAATGGGAGTGTATCAAACATTTCCTGTAAATTCTTGTGAAACCTTCAGTATTTTTGAAATTGACATAAACGCCGGCCAACTTGCTCTAACAAGCTCTTACCTTTAACGGAAAAAAACGTTGCCTCTTTTCTGTGCCTTACAAATGAGTATGGCCTGGATTTTGTTCTAGATTTCTCCTTCTATAACGACAACAGGGATGTATTTGACACAGCGAACAGAGTATTTCCAGCTTCAGTGCAGTGATGAAAAACACAAGAAATTTTTTTAAAGTCCATGTTAAATACAGATGCACACAGAAGAGCTGTAAACAGAACATCCCTAAAGCTCAGTAGTGAATAAGAAAAGTGTTATAATGTAGAAAGTAGTGGTAAAATTCACCTTTGGACATTTAAGCTATCACAAGATTTCTTTGCCTTGTGCTGTAGGGACCCTCCTTATATAGGGGTAAGTGTTGGTGTTAGACATCCCATATCTGTTTTAAAAAAACAAACAAACACACACCCCTACTGCATAACCTGCTGAGCTCATTTAATTTGATGAACTACATGGATTTTACTTACAAGAATCCATACTATATTCTCATGTATCTTGAAAAAGCAGTGAAGCCTTTGTGGTAGGAAATTGTATTCTGAAACTCCATCTGTTAGAACTCATAGAAGAATATAATGGAAACCTAAATATTGCAATTAAAATTGGCAGGCCAACAGCCTGGAACTTAATGGATTTCCATATCTCAGATCGGAACAAACCAGCAATTAATCTTACCCCACCAAGTTTTTTAAAAAAAAAAAAAAAAAAAATGACATTCTCTTCAATGCCAACAGAAACTAGGTTTAATTCATTCTTAATGTACTAAAATCTCTTGTTATTTGCAAATGTTATAGCTACAACCTAAGAGAGAAATAAAATTAACTATTTAGACTTCTGCTTTACACCTGCATGATGGAATTCAGCTTTCTCTCTTCTGCAGTAAGCAGCTTAAAAACAAACAAAACTTTGGAATATTCTATTTCTATCTCTGTGCCCAAAGCTAGAGGACAATAGACCTATTCCAAAGGCTTTATGCAAAGTAAATATATTTAGTGTGTTGTTTTGTTTTTGTTTTATACAGAGCACTCACCATCAACTTGCTTCGCTTCCTATGTTCTAGGGACACATACATAAACTAACCGGGTCATTCTCTGTCCATCCATTAGAGACACAGCAGGACCGGTCTTACAAAGATGACAGTGATGCTGCAACTTTCAAGCAAACCCTCCCAGATCTCACCCCTGATGAGCCTTCAGAAGCACTCAGCTTCCCTCCCTTGGGAAAGGAGGAAGGGAGATGTGATGAAGATCTGCCCAAAAGCCAAACTGAATCACCTGCAGTGGAAAATAAAGAACCCCAGTCTCAACCCACTGAAGAGCCAGTAACGCCAACAACTGAGGAAGGAACAGCAGCTGATGCAGGTAGTGATGAATCTCCAGGAAAGTCCCCATCGAAAAAGAAAAAGAAGTTTCGCACTCCTTCCTTCCTGAAGAAGAACAAAAAGAAGAGTGACTCCTAAAGGCCAAACACACTGCAGAAACACTGTCATATTTTAAAATTCATTAACCACTAGAATGTACCAGATTGTACTGAGTGTTTTGTCTTATTATGTAAATGAATGCAACAAGTAATCCAACCAGCCCCTCAAGTTATGGCTTGATTGTTTAAGATTATAACCAGAAATCAATGTGCAAAAAGGTGCTAATCCTGTGTTTTCAGCAGCTACCACTGATCTGATCCCTAATTTGTAAACGAACGTAAATGATTTCCATGTGGAAGGCACTGAATCACTATTTTTAATTTAAATCCCACACTGCTTTACGTAAGAATAAAAATGTATTCACAATTAAAAATACAACACAAATTGCTTACTGCAAGAAGTGGTCTTCTGCAATGTTTTGTCAGTCACAAGTAAGTTTCTTTTTAAATATTGAATTTCAGAGAGGATGCTTTTGCAATGGTATTTTCAGGGAGTGTATTCTTGAAGTGAGAGATGTAAGCTTCTGCAATCTTGTGCTTACAGATCATGTTATAGTAAAGCTTTGAGACTATCCATACTGCACCTTCCTCTCTTTTCCCCCCCTATCTGACTATTGTAAAAAAAAAAAAATGAAAGTGTTTTTTCACTTTATGTTGTAGCTGGCACTTGAAATTAACTTTGTCTAGGAGGACTGATAGCGATGGTGTGTTCTGCTCATATTGTGCATTGAAGAGCCCAGTTTTTTTTTTTTCTAGTAAATGCAGTTTAAGGGAAATCTGTCTTATGACCTTGCCGCCCTAAAAATCGGTCACAAGTTAATTTGGCTGTTAAAAAAAGTAACTGTATTAAAGTATTTCAGAAGTTTTTCAGTTGGTGAGGTAAAGCAGGGGCAGTTGCCTTGGGGCCTTAGCCTGGCTTTCACCCTTTTCTTAAAAATCCCTTGGGTACATATGCAAACCTGTTGCATATAAAACCTCTTTGCAGCCTTTTGCGTTCATTCCTTCTCATGATAAAAGTTTAAATGTATTCCACTGGATATTTAACACTTTTTACAAATGAATTATTTTCACTTACTTACAAAAACTGGTATTTCTTGATTTTTTGTTGCTAGCAGTGAGGTATTAAAATCCCAACTAACCTTAAAGATGTATTTCCAGAGTTTGCTGTAAGTATGTGTTTGTTTAACATGTAGTATGGAAAAGAAAATCCCTTACACCACTGAATTGGCCATTTTCCAGTTACTGCCATGCTTTTATCTATCACTAATCATAAAAGTAGTTTCAAGATCAGATAGGTAAAGCCTGCAAGGATTCTCCAGAAACCATAAATGATTCATCCCAGCCAACAGTGGACAAGGTTGTTTACCATTTCAGATTTCAAGTATTATGCATTTCTGGTTGTAACAGCAGAAAACATTAAAAATTCCTGTATGGGAGAAGGAAACACTTTTGACTCACAATAAGGGTCTGTAACAAAACAGAATATGGATGTAACCTTTTAGGACAATATTAAACATTGCAACTGGTAAAACAGCAGAAAACTAATGCCTTACAATTCA